ACTTAAAAATGCTTCAAATGTTTGGTAATTACACAAATTGTCTTTATTTTAGATTTTCTGCTTTCAGTTTTGATCAATTCTCATTTTATCTTGCTTTAATAACCATCAAGTTTTTTTTGAAACAGTAAATTTAGTACCTAACCAAATCTGGACATTTAAAATAACAAGAAAAAGAGATAGAAAAAAGGCTAAATTACTTGCAAAGATAAATTTCAAATATTTTTTATTTATTTTATTTTTATTCTCTGGCTGGTTTGTGTAAAACCCTCACATACTGACAGAATTTATCCAAAAGGAGTACCTGCCATAAACAATCAAATGTCATCTGCATAGTGTGCTACATCCATTCTTTGTCTTTATGAAAGTTCCTTTGATGAATGTTGATATTCTGTCAGCCAAATTGTTTTAAAACAAGTTTAAAATAAGAGGTGGCAACATGTGGATTTTATTCATATAAATCCTAATCCAGCCATTTTCTCACACTGGTTGCTTTCTTCAATGGTTCTCTGCTTGTCCAAATGATGCCATGGATAATCTGGACCAAATGCCACAACATTAGAAACAAGCATTGGCTCAGGAAATTGGATGAGATTGTATTTGCTACACACACATTCAGCAGCCATGAAGAAGGACATTCTTGAATCTGTCATGCCGGCTAACAAGCTAATTACCTCTCACCTGGAAGATCTAGCATGACTCATTCTGTTTTGAGTCACACATTAGTCCAGCCATTTGATTGTCCCACTTTTCCCTGCACCTCTTCATACACATGAAGAGGTGTAACTTCATTACCCAAGGCCCACTGCCATGATGTCATCTGTTTTTTTTTTTTTTATTATTAAAAAAATATGAGATCATCCAAGTGTGACATCACCTCTCAAAGAGCACTTTGCTAATATGTGTCTGTCGGGACCATGTGTAACTGAAGTATTTACTTATTAATACAACTTTGACTCGTGTGATTTTCTTGTTTTAAAAATATAGTTTGGAGAGAAAAACTCATTAGACAGAATGTAAAAAACACCAGAACAATATAACCCGCAGCCTAGAAACCTGCATATAGGTTTGTAAAGAACCAACGATTCACATTCAGCAACAGACAACTCTGGTTGTTATTGTAGCCCAGTCCTTCCCTGTAGGCATCACACATAATCAGATGTGGCAGGCCAAGATGCTGCTGTTAGCATTGTGATGTGTGTTCAAGGGGTTCATGGGTCCATCAGGAGCCGTCTTCTCCTTTATTATTTCCACATTATCCAGTGTTTAATCAGATATGACATTTTACAGCTCTAAAACTCACATTTAATATTTACAGCACTTTTCAGGATCTTACAAATCATTTAGACTTTTATCATTCTAGTCTAACAGTAGTTGACTAAAATTTACTTGTATAACTTTTCTTCTCAAACTCATGTTTCCTTTTCCTCCTTCCTTTTTCTTGGTTTACATTTATTTCCTGTGTCTTCTCCCTTCTCTTTCCCACAGATGCTGCAGAGGAGTCAAAAGCGGAGGAGAATGTCCACCCAGATGGGGCTGTGGAGACCTCTGAAGCCAAGGAAGACTAAAGGCAAAGTCTTACCCACTGGAAATTAGAATATGATGAATAACACAAAAACAAAAATCTTAAAAGGTTGCTCTTTGCCTTCCCAATGTCGAGGGCAGTCAGTTTCTATTTGTTTGTCATTTTTTGTGTGGCAATGATTTTCTCATGTTGGGGGAGTTTCCAACGTGAAGTTTTTTGGCTCAAGCTAATAGTGTGATGGTGATGATGATGATGTCTGTATTAATGAGTGTGAAAAAAGATATCATCTTGATGATGATAATGATGTTGCAAAGGTAAAAAGCTACACTACTGAATATAAGTGACACACAACTGGATTGTCTGCTTCCAACTGGACCTCACACACATTTAAAATGCATTGCCAATGCACCATGGTTCATTTGCATTGTAATGCACTCTTTTTTAAAATCACATTGCGAAAACAAAAATCTGTTCTGCAAATGCATGCACAAAAACAAGTCAGTTTTTAAATGCAACTCCAGTTTTCAGCACCGCGCAAGTGTATTGAAAACATAGCAACACGTCAGATGGATACTCGAATGTATATCTAAATGTGTGAGATTTCTAGTTGGGTAGATTTATTCAATATCAAAAATAAGACAATAAAATTCCTGCTTTCTATTCAGCTTGAGTCACTCAAGCTTGGTTTACATCCCTTTTATACACTCTGTCAACCCACATTTACAGTAAAGGACCTGTTGCCATTTAAATCCTATAATAAACTAGAGTAAATTACTAGAGTATTGATGTAACTGGCTTTTATATATATTGACTTGTGTTCTGCCAAGCAAGCGTGAGAGCAGTAGCATGAACCACGGAACCAGATGCATGATGGGAACTCTCCCTCCGAGAGGAACTTCTTCACAGTCACAAAACTTAAGAGGTGTGGCGGCTTCTTTTTAATGTCTTTGGTGTTGTTATGACAGTTTCTATGAATTGGAAAAAAAATTACTCTTGCACTGATGTTACTGAAAAAAAGATAAAAAATCTGAAAAAGAAAAAATCAAAGATACGAAATTCTTTTCCTATGTTCCAGTGAGTACAATGTCCAGTTTCAACCTTATCAAAGAGTTCAAACTTGTGAAAAAAAAGATGGAAAAAAAAATAAAAAATGGTTTCAATGTCTGTTTTCAAAATAAAGCAAATGTGCCAATTACCATCCTAAGCAGTTGAGTTTGTTTAAAGCTGAGTTGTTGTGTCTAATGGATGGAAACATTTAAGTTGCAGAAGAACAATACCTCAAGGTATTTACAAACATATAAAAATACTGATTTTATGTCAAATGGTAAATGGTCTGTATTTGTATAGCACTTTTTTCAAGTCTAGAGAACCCCAAAGCACTTCAAACTATGTTTAGTCATTCACAACATTGCCATGCACCAGCATCCCTGAGCCCTCTGACCACCAGCAAACAGACAAGGCAGGTGAAGTGACTTTGTCCAAGAACAGAAGAGACAGATGGAAAGGATTCTGAACCAGCAACCCACTGGTTACAGCAGTGTTTTCTAAACCTGTTGCCCTGCATGGTCTAGACTTTTTCCTGCTTCAAGCACACATAATTTCAACTGATGGCTGACTAACTGCAACCATCTGAATCAGGTGTCTTAAATAAGGGAGCCATCTAAAGCATGCAGGCCAGAGTACCACCCTCACTTCAGGTAGACATAGTTAATTTGACAGCAGACATAAAAGCTAAATATGTTCATTTTCTTTATGCAAACTCGCAGCAGCTGTCAGAACATTATTGTTGCTTCCTTAAGTCAGTTAATCTCTGATGGAGCAGCATATTGAGGCTAACCTACAGAAACTCCATTTTTGGATAAAATAGTATCTGTCATGGAGACAAACAGATTGGACAATAAAGACCACCGATAAGTCAGTTAGATGAAGCATAACAACAATCCAATGTAGACTCAATGACAACTTCATACTGCACAAATATTCAACTGCTTGTTAACATAAATGGGAGTTTAGACAATCATTGCAACAGCAAGACACATTAAAATATCTGATGTGACAAATATTACTTGACATTCAGCCTGCATCAGAATGGGGAAGAAAGAAAATTTAAGTAACTTTGAATGAGACATGGTGTGAGTTAGTATTCCAACAACCCTGCAACAATAAGCAGGTATAGACAATGGATAGATGGTGCCAGTATCCATTCACAAAAGATAAAACGTATAACCTAAAAAAACATTGCACAAATTAGATTGGTTTTAGAAGTCTAGATTTCAGCTGAAACATTCAGATGGTATGATCATAATTTGGTGTAAGCTTGAAACCACGTATTAACACAGAGGTGTGATAGCAGTATATTGTCTTGGTATTGTCTTGGTGGTTTCAATCTCAGGTGTGTGGACAAGACTTATGAGCAAACTGTGTGCTAATACTTGAGCATCCCACATGCCCATCAGCAAATGCCGTTCTCTTTCCCACAAAGGTTGAGTGACCTTCATACTAATGATGCTCACTTGCTGAGAAAGCTCTCCAATGAAGAGGATCCTTTCTTTGGAAACAAAAATCAGGTTGGTAATATTTTCTTTCTATTGTGCTTACATTCCTTGTCTATGTCTACTTGTATGAAATTCAACAAGTTAACTCATTAGTTTATTTTATTTTAGTCTGAAAAAGTGAGGAAAACTAACTTTTTTGCACATGCTCTATACATGCTATGCAGAATACAATGCTGCATTGCAGAACTGCTGACATAGTTTGTGCACAAACTTAGATGCAATCCATTGTTTGTGCTTGTTTTTTCCTACTCGTGGTCACAGGGGGCTGGTGCGTATATCCAGGGGTCACAGGGTGAGAAGTGGGGTACACCCTGGAGAGGTCTACGGTCCACCACAGCACCAGCATAGAACTGGCACAGACAACAATTCAAGGAAACTCTATACCTATGGGCAAAGTAGAGTTTCCTTCTAACCCATCATACTGTTGGTTTCTATGTGGAAACTTGGGGGCTTGCATGAACAGGGAGAGCTTACCGACATGATGATGACAAATTATGTCACCAACCAACACGACTTGAACCCAAAACCTTCTTGCTGTGAGGCAAATGCTTCAGTGTAATTAATTCCCCAGTATTTGCTTTTGTTGCTCCCAATACTTTAAAATATGGTCTGTTATGACACCTAGAGGCCCAATAATTTACTGCAGCCCTTCCAATACTTGTACACAGTCTGTCTTTTTCTTTGGTGTATTTACCTGCTGTTTTACCAGTTACAATAAAGCAGAACCTTAGTTGGTTTTCTCACAACTTGTAGGTACAAAAATGTATTTCAGAAAATATTGTAACAATACAGACATTATTTTATTTGCATGTTACATGATGATTAACACATCAGTACCATTGAGATGCTGTGTGTTCTGAGTTCCCCCCAAAAAAGGAAAAAAGGGATACTTGCCCCAACATTTCAAGTTACATTCAAATAAAGAACACTGACTTCAAACAACTTTATTTTGTTAACATTTTCTCATACAGTTTACCTTTAATACGTATCTTTTTTCTTTTTTAGAAATGGACTGGAATTATCTTATGCAATATTAAAGTAAAGCAAAACTGAAAAAAGAGAAACATTTCGGCATCATAGTCCACGGCTGAATGTTAATTTTCCCATGACTGAGTGGGGTACAGGGGAAGTACAAACAGTTTACATTTTCAAAAGGTAGGAGTTGTATGAATGAGATCTTTAAGGAACTGGTGTCTTTACAACATTCTAATGTAGAAACAAAATTTTGAATATACAGACAAGAGGAAAAAAGATGGTAGGACTTTATACTAAAGAAAAAGAGGGTTACCACAGTAACCATCAACTAACTGGTGTACTCCTCACATTTACAACTTCAGTCATTGTTAATCATCATGAATGCACACGCCACTTACAAGAGCCAGCTTACTACAGTGAAGCAGAGGGCCGAGACAATGCTTAGTAGTAAACTGGGTAGCTGTGCCTGTAGCTTTCAGCAGATATTGGGTTAGTGCTGTGTTCTTAGGCTGGCTGTTAGGATGTGTTACACATGGAAAGACAGAGCTCCTTCTCTGCTTTACACACAAGATAGAGCTTCATGGCTTTTACATGTATGGTCTGAATATTTTCAGTGCCTTGCAAAAGTAATCATGCCCATTAAAATGTTTAACATTATGTTGCATTACAACCACAAACTTTAAAAGTAGATATTTGTAGAGTTGAAAAAAATGATATAATGCTTTTAAAACATTTTTTAATCAAAAGCTACAGCTTACTGTGTTTAATTTATGTTTAGTATAAATACAACTGTTCAACAAAATAATATCTCAATATTCAGACACATTTTTAGCTCTGTTCAATCCACCATCCAAAATGGAAAGAGTAAGGCACCACTGCAAACCTATTATTACATGGCTGTCCATTTAAGCTGACAAGTCAGATAGAGAAAGCATTAATCAGGAAAGTAGTCAAGAGACCCAAGGTTACTAGAGGAGCTACAAAGATGAACAGCAAAGGAGGGAGAAGATTTCGTCAGGACAACTATTAGTTACGGACACTAAAAAAACAAAATGGCCTCAACAGAAAAGTTGCTGGAAGTAAAGTATTGTTACATGAAAGTCAGAAGAACTACAATTTGCAGGTTGTCCAAGACCCATGTGGGCACACTAAACATGGATGAAGTGTGTTCTGCTCACATGAGACCGAAAATTTAATTTTGTCACTATAATAACTAATGATGCAAACTCTTCTCCCACATAATCAAACACAACAGAGGTAGCATCCTGTTTTGGATACTATCAAACCAAATTGACTGTGCTTTGACGATTTTCCGAGAATGGGGAAAACAGTTTTACTTGAAATAACTAGTTGAGATGTATTCTTAAATGCTTACAGCTGTAATTGCAGCTAAAGAGATGTTTTTGTGTAATGTTTTTGACCGCTTTTCACCACAAGGGTAGAAGGGTAAAATATATTTTTTGTTTTTCAAAAAAGCAGGTTAAAGATTAAAATTTTAGCCACAACATATTCATTTGGATGACAAAAATGCATTTTCTGTGACGATGCTGATGTAGTAACCCAACTTCACATGCCATATGGATTATGTATAACAACAATGGCAGATTACATGTTTAATGCAGAACTTCATTAAAAGTTCTGCAGCAACTGCAAAAAGTTATACAAAAGGCTCCACTTGTTTTTTGTTGCTTGCTATTTTTTTATGTTGTGTTTACCACTAATCTTGTGTGGAGATGTATGTTTATATTGCATACTCAACATGGATTATAAACATGTCGAGTATGGAAGCACCACTTACAGGTGTGGAGAGAGTAAAAACAATGTCTAGGACTGGTCTGTATTTACGAATGGATAAAAACATTTCTGAAAACGGTGCCATCTGGACAAATCTGTGTTTTTATAAATGACAATCCAGTTTGGAATAAGTAGACATTCATGTGTATGGGGAACTGGAGAGGTGGGGAGGCTGAATACAAATTATATGCCACATTTATAAAAATTTTTTTGAAAACCATGAGTCATTTTCATTTTATTCCGAAATTCCACTTAAAATTCAAATGAAACACATTAAAGTTTATGGCTATAATATGACAACATGTGTGTAAAAGTTCAAATGGTATGAATATATTTGCAAGGCGCTGTAAGTCAGTGCTATGTAGCTGGCTTTAACCTGCATGAATGTGCTTGAGCACCCACACTGCTGAGCTTAGCCTCATGCACTTGAACAACCTGAATGGTACAAAGATAGTCTATAAATCAACTTAAAATCCATTAATCAGAGTTCCCTTAAAGGTTTTGCTATTAAGCAGAGATCATGCATACAAATGCTAAAATGAAGGCTTGAGGCAGTAAGAAGTTTTTTAATACCTTGGTTATCTGTCTTAGTCTCCTCAACTTAACTGAAAAGCCAGGAAGCAAAAAAAAAAACAAACAAAAAAAAAACAACAAAACATCCACATTTGTTCATCTGCTTCAGGTCAGTCATGCTCTGTTCTGCCCTTATTTTACATAAAAAGACAGTGAGACGGAGCAGGAGGAATCAACATTTCCCTCAGGTAAACTGACCTGCTAAGATCTATTCCACACTAACAAAACTATACTGCTGTGCTTAATGTATGCTGCAAAAAAATAAAACACACCGGGTATAAATGCATACAAAAAAAAAAAAGAACTAATGAAAAAAATGTGCAAGAAGGTGAAAGCATAAAATAAGCAGTCCTTAACACCTGCAAGAGTCAGAAATGTGATATTGGATTTGGTGTGACCAAAACAGCACTTCAAGTAAAAGCATTCTAGATTTTAAGTTCAACATCACTAACACAAACAGCTGCAACCTCAGAGGCAATCACCATGGAAACACTGAAACAAGTCTTTAAATACATGGTGAAAATGACAATAATTAAATGTTTGTTTTCAGATAAGCGAGAATTGATAGTGTTGCGCTAAGCAAAGGATTGCACAATCAATCAGCTTTACAGTAGGTCAAAGAAAATGGTAAAAAGGCAGCTAATAGTGCAGCAGGTTCAGTAAGCCACACAGCTGCACCCCTGAACTGCACTCTATAAGTGAGTAAAGTAAAACCTACAGACATTTACTCATTAGTTCTTACAGAAATAAATTCTGTGACAGCTTTGGCAAAGAACTTGGTGATTTGCTGCAGTTAAATTTAATCACTTTTTTGCTTGGCGATTGAGAGGAGTCATGTCCAGTGTTTGTTAATATTCTGTTCTCGTGCTGAAGTCCAGGCATTTGAATGAGCATTGCAAGCTAACCATAATACTACATTCTTACAAAAATGTCAACTCAAGAATAAGTACAACAACAACAACGGCACAGAACTGTCTGCTTTTAATGCATAACTTTGCCTTATTATATTCCTATCCAACGGGCTTCGATCAAGACTGTATGCCTGCCAGTTTAAAAGACCTACAAGCCTCAATAAGATGCTATCCTATAAAGAAACATCAAATTTATCTTTTTATACAGTGCACCAGCGCTAAAGTTGTTGCCTTTAAATAAATTCATCCTTTATTTCACTATCATTTTGTCTCACTAAAATATTTAGCACTGGAGTACATTCCGTGGAGGAAAATACTGTTTTAAGAAATAATTATTGATAATAAAATTAACACTCTTAGAAATTCCTGCAAAGTAAATGCAACTGAAGGTTTCCTTAAAACTCCATTCATAATCAGAGTTTATAGAAATTTCTTAATCATAATAAATGATTTCTTAGTTACTGGTACAAAAAAACAGTGGCTCAAAACCATTAAATGGTTCTATGTCTAAAGATAGATAACCCTAACCCAAAGAGTCTGGAGTTTCATGGGACAGAGTAAAGTAGCACAGTGCTGCTCCTCCACGGCCTTTTGCTGCACACTGCCAATCAGTCGACTACAGAAAGGGCACATTTACAAGACAGCGTTTTTGGAAATACTTAATATGTTGAATTTATTAGCACTTTTTCCGCAGCAGAAGACGTAGTTGCTGCTTAGATCTTTTAAACATAAGCAAATTTATCACCTTAACATGTTTTTGGTTTTTAGTACTGTGCTATAAAAATTCTTCAAAGGTAATTGCTGGAGAACTGTATCAAAGATCATCATAAACTTCAAAAGCTTCTTTCATAGCCAGCCCAGTCCATCCTTGTAATCTTTTATAAGAGATTGAGTTTTACTTATTGTACTGGGAAAATGGGATTCTACAAAGTTGTACCAACATGTGTGCCACAAGTCTCGTAGTGAAAAGAAACACTTTCCTTAACATGGTACTTTTATCCACTATGCATAAACATACTCAGTATTATTATTTATGAGATTAGGTTGCTACAATAAATTTATTTTAAGGCAGTTTATTCATCTTTATCGGAGGTGCCAATAAATGTGGATGGTATTGTACATAAGGTATTTTGGTTGAAGTGTGCTGTAAAAATGAGTGAGACAAGGATGGAAAAAAAATAGCATGAACATCATATATCATCATGAATATTTGTGTACCATGTTATAGTAAAACAAACACTCTTTGAGAAAGAGAAAAACTTAAAAGTCATTCATTGGTGTCATACGTATATATTTTTTTCTCCAAATCCCCACTGTCTAGCAGAATGATCCTAAAATACCTCAGCTAAAAGTACACACTGCAACAATGTTCTCTGAAATCCTGATGTTACAGTGGCAGAACTTGTTTTAGAGAGATACAAAATTGAACTATGTACAGTACGCATAATTATAACCTACATGGGTATATTTTTTTGTCAGTTCTTCTTTTTCTTTTTTAATAAAGGCGGGTAGTAGCAAAGCCACTGGATGAGTACGTAAAGGATGGTTTAGCTCGGAAGGAGTCACTCACTGCATCCTCCTCTCTAAGATTGCCTGCCATAGTCCAAATGTTTCTGAGTGAAGAACTGTCCTGCTAAGGCTCTGCACCTGTGTTCCAGCTGAGTCGCCTCATGTCATGGTTGAACACATTCAAGACAAAAATCTCATTTCGTCAAAACCCCCCCACCTCAAAAAACAAAAAAATCAGATACATTAGTTTTTCCCTTTCAGTTTTGCACTTCAGCTTCAAATATTTGTGTATATTTGGCAGATATTTTGCATGTTGCTTTTTAATGGGTTAAACACACAATAACATAATAGATCTTAGATGTACTCAAAAGAGCTGATTGTTGGTATCCCAGTTTATGGGATCCTTCTGCTTTTATCCCCATGAAAAATAAAGAGGGGGAAGGGGCCAGAGGAGGGGGATCCAAATCCAGACCCAAAAACAATGTGTTACAGACACAAAATAGTGCACACAAATTAAAAACAACATCACAAATCTTTGTAAGAGCACTGTTTGCTTGTTTTGTCCTTCATTCCACTGTTTTTATTTGTTGGTAAAACATCATACTCCATCATAACTCATTGCTTCTCATCTCTAAGCCATGCTCAAGAATGCTCAAGAGCACGTAAGGTTTTTGTACTGTGATGCAAACAGTCTGCGGGAGGGAGGCGGCAGCGTTGGTAATAAGGTAGCGAAAAGGATGTCATTGAGTTGAAGAGCGGGAGGACGGGAAAGTAGGGTGAGGAGGGTTGTGCGGACAGGGGGAGGGGAGTCAGCGAGAGAGCCGGATGATGGTATTAACACTTGAAGAAAAGGCAGGCGAAGGAGGCCAACAGGAGCCACAGTGATAGAGATGCACAAGCAGAACCATTGATGTCTCGACCTGTCCCAGGTCCTGCAAGAGAGGCAAAGAAGGGAGTCAGCAAGGGTTTAATGAAGCAAAAAAGATGATACTATACAAATCTGATGCTTTAGTAATATAGAAGTAATCTCCCACTGTTGATGTGACCAGGGTGTAGGAAAAAACACACTGGTTACACCGTAGTGAAAATAAGATGTCTTTCAGACATACAAACAAACATTTGACACCATATATTTCATGTTAGTTATATTTCTGATGATTTGATGGAGAGAAAGGTTTAACTACAAAAGGAATCAAAACACACTGTTTGCTGACATCTAGTGGTTCAGAGTGTCATTGACGGATCCATTGAACAATTGCGCTTTTTGACTGGGCTTCTAAAATTTAATGTTCAATGGTATGAATCATATTTCTAAAAACTATTGATAGGAGAAGCCTTGTTATCATAACTTTTCTTTTACTGATAAAAGAAATGAGACATCGTCCATTCAGTATTTGTTACTCAAAGTTCCTCCACCCTAAGTGAGTACTGTAATTTAATTACAAATTTAAAGTTAAACTTGATTAACTTAAACAGCTCAAGCACCAACAAAAGAATAAAAAAAAAAGCAAACAAATAATCTGAGTTTAGAGAGCTATGGGCAAATTAGATGTCAGGTAAAAACACAAATAAAGAAATTTTTAGATTCAAAATTTAATTGGCAGTAAGACTTTATAGCATAAAGGAGATGTACACTAGTACAACAATTATTACAGTCTACACCTAAAAGAAAAAAGACCTGATGAAAATGTACATGCATGTAAAGATTATACAATCATCAATGTGCAAATGCTAATTATGTAAGCTATTCATCAGTTGTAATGACGATGCCAAGAAAAAAAAAACAAAAGGTGCACTAACAGAAATAATTTGAGTTGGTCATGTTGATAATAAAGACATAACAGTTCTGCAGATAAGTTCTGCACAACAAATGGCATTTATTCCTGTTTTGTTTTTCTTGATTTGAACAGACCTTTTGGAGTTTCCTGTAGCATTTTACATTTCAGCATGTTGAGCTTTCAATGACTTTACAAAAACAGAATCACATGAAACAAATTACATTACTTTACACTCAGCCTGCAGCAAGCTTAAGCTTCGGTCAAACATCATTAGGCAGCACTGCTGCAGATGCTTTGCTCTGGAAGCTGGTGAACCTGATATAACTCTGGCTCTGCTCTACATCTCATGTTTTATTGTTTCACAGCTTTGGAAAGAGCAACATTATTTCATAAAGGGATTAGGACATGCTTTTTTATGCTGATATTTGTGATTGAATGTCAGTGTGCCATCTGCAGTGTTTTTCAGAAGTCAACATTTCCCCTTGTTATTATCTTACAACAAATGCTACATTTTCAAAATTACAAAAAGCAATCTGAGATGGGTGGCATACATTGGCATTTAGGCTTGATAACAAGGCTAATGCCCTTAACTTGTAAAATCTAATATTTCAAAAGATTGAAAGACTATGCCACTTAAAAACATGTAATGCCACAGATGTTCCTCTAAACAGGTTGGTCAATAAGAACAGGTTATCTCTCATTTGCAGAAAAGCAGGTGTAAGGATAAAATATAACTTTATGAAGAGATTCACAGCTCAAGTGGGAACATTTTTGACTGGACTGGTGTCCAGTTGACTCTCCTGTCAACGCCTCCTGCACTCCACAAATCTGCCGTTTATGGAACAGTGCCAAGAATTTAGCCATTGTTGACAAAAACCTCATTAGCAGTTTGTCATAAGTCATGTAGGGATCACAGCAAACATATGGAGCTTTTGGCCAGCCAGTTAATTTCATTATGTTGCCTTATCCTTTGTGAGTTTCCTAGTTTATTCTTTTGTTCTGTTCCTTGTACATTTGAATTTATTTTTCTCCCTTTTCCGTTTGAAGATATTTTCTGAGTCTTAGTTGAGCTCCGATTTTGTTAATTACTCTCTCTCCCCCAGTTTCCCTGCTCCCTCTCTGCCACAGCTTTATATATCACCTGATAAGTCCATCTAATTCCTTTGTCATTTTCCACCTCTCCCTCTTTATTTGAGCTCCTGGCTTTTTCTCGTCTCTGTGCTGGATTTTTTGTTCCTCTGCACATCACTCCATGCTCCATCTTGTGCTAACCTTGTTTCAAAACTTACAAGATTTCTTTTTCTATTAAACCTTCCACAGACCTTTTTCAAATGGCTCTCTGCGTACCAGCCCTGCTTCAATCATACAAAAGATGACAGTATTGTAATATTGTCTGTAAAAGGCAACAATTTATGATACAATCCCGGCAGTATTGGTAGCCAGTGAAGGGAAGGTTTAATCATTAATCATTTGTTTTCTTCTCGGCTGTTTTGATCTCCAAAAGCTGATTGGAAAGTTTTTTTGCTAACAAAAATATGGAAAATGGGAAATAAAATATTTCTAGAAGCAGCTCATGTAATCAGACCATTGACAAAGAGAGAAGGTTAAACTAATTGTTATTCACAGCAGATATACAGTTTCAGATCACTTTTGCTTGAGTTTTTTTTTTTTTTACTTGGTTCAAATGCACAGGGACAGCTTCTGGTCAAACTAAACAAATGAGCAGACATACCTCAAACCAGCATAACATGATGATTTTTTATCTCTTTTTTAGCAACAGGATCTGTCCATCTTCAACTTACAAAACTGACTTTTCCATCAGACACGGTTTCACTATTTTAAAACTTAGTTACAACTGAATACAGGGATAAAGAAAAAAATTCTCTTTGAAAAAGTCTGGACCTCAGTTTTTAATCTCTCTATTGATCCCATCAGTAGTTCCTTCCACTATTAACTTACCCTACTGCTACACCTGGTAAGGACCAGATTATTTTTGAGAACTTATAATGATGTCCTTACCTCTGGTTATGAAGACTCATGGAAACTTGAGTTTGTGAACTGTGGTGAACTTTAAATCTTTTACTTTCAAATGTCAACTTTGACTGTCTTCAATGCAGAGATATAGCGGACCTATATGCCAAATGAGAAAAACTAATATGCGGAGAGGCTTTAAGTCTCTGCTTGGCTTCCAGATGTCGACTGGTAAAGCTTGTAGCAAAGCTGAAAAAATCTGCAGTGAGAAAACTCTGTGCTCATATTTAATGATTAAGAGGGAAATAAGATGAATTGAATTAGTACTTTAAAGTCAATATGTTTCATAAGTTTTAAAGTTATAGAGGCAGTGTACCTCTAAAGAACCAATCTCATTTGGATAAACTTCTGCTTTATATAATATAAGGCCATACTCACTATAGAGGAAAACGCTGGCAGTCTGAGCACCCAGACGGTTTGAGGCCACACAGGTGTAGTTCCCATAATCTTCTTCAGTGACATTGGCAATCATGAGGATAGTGTTACCACCAAGAATCTGGATATTGATGCCTTGAGTATTAGACAGCCTGAAAAAGAGACAAACAGAAAGAGGATGAACAATTTCAGGTGGAGAGTTATCTGCCAAATCAAAAGCATGAGAGTTAGATAAAAATGTAGATAAATACAACACATTAATTTGATGCAAGCAAACAACATCAAATTTCAATGTTGTGCATAGCAACTCTGTGTAGCTCCTGCTGGTATGGGAGGGGCCAGGCAGGGTTAGACATTTTGAACTTTTTTTCATTAAGAGATTGATACAATGCAGCAAACTTGACTTTTGTGAGGGACTGCAGCACATTTCTCAGATTTATTTTTCTTTTGCCATATAAAAATGACAAAACTGCTGTTTTAAAGCTTGAGTTATGTGCCATCAGATGTCCTTGAGAATGAAACATTCCTTCTATTCCAGTTATTTGCTAAAAAATTCCCACAACACAGTTTTGCAGCCCTGTGTGACAAGGGCACTATTCATACTTCTTTAGCATTTTCACACTTTGTGCCATAACAACCATAAACTTCACTGTTTTTATGATTTTATTTTGAACACATGCTTTTCACTTACACTTTTGCATGATAGCTAAACAAGTTTTGTTTTGGTTTTGATGCCTTCACAGAACAGCTGGATTTATACTTGTAAGACATGTCCGCTATTTGGGTGACTTATGAAGGCAATTATTCATATAAGCAAACCAAACTCTTCAAAAATGGCTATTTTTAAATATGATTTTATTTTGACAAAATGTGAACATTAAAACCCTATACGAATGACTTTGTCAGACATATGTCTACTTTGAGTCCAGTTTGCAGCAAATTAAAAACTCAACATGCCTCTGAAAATATGCTTCAGTAAAAGTGTACAACTCACTGAAAACCATTCCCTTAATGATCATACTCAAACAAAAGTATTTTTATGAAAAGATGCATATGATACATTCTGCTTGTCCTCGAAGCCTTTCACATCTTGAACGAGGTGAAGTTCATTTCAGGCGCCTCAACTTAATCCTGCTTAAGCCTGTGTAATTGGTAATCTGAATTTGAGCAGGAGAGCGAGACGTTTGTGCTGACGCATGCTGGGCTGATAGAAAGTATTAACATAAAAAGGGAAACTCACATCATAGCACAGCATAATTCGGCACACGGGAGCAGGGGAACTTGATAAAGTGCTGAAGCCCTTACCATGGGGACACCTTGGGAACGGAGGCGGCGAGCGCATTTGTGTTTGAAAGTCAAAGAGAGAGCACGAAGAGAGGCCAAGTGCTCCAGCAGTGCCCCGCGCTTCATCTAAAAGCAAACCTCTCGGCTGCAAAGATAAGGCCAGAAGCAGCAGCAGCAGATATATTCTCCGGTGCTTTTTCATGAGAAGTGACTGCACTATTAAAAAGGCCTTTCTGCCCACCGAGAAAACCAGATAATACGCAGAGCTGCAGGGAGCCGAGAGCAAACAGCTGCTTTCACAAAAGATTACAATTGATGATAGTGATGCAGCAGCGAGGGGGTAAACTGACCTAAAGAGGATGAAAGAACTTTCTTTTGTTGTCAGAGTGTAAGTCTTTTGTTCTAATTAGTGATCCAAAGGTTATTTATTTAAGAGCAGAAAGCCGAGTGCTTTATCTTCAGTTCAGCTTTCAACAAGCTCAGTGTTACTTCCTTTGGTGCACTTTTCTAATCTACAATCTTCACTTTTACTCAGCAAGGATTTAAAATGTATCCTAATATATATTCCTATATTCTTAATATAGAACAAGATTGGAACTTTTCATCAAAAACGTTGCCAGAAACGGTGCTGTTTTGTTTATTTGCCAGAGCAGTGCTTTTAAGACATTGATATCTTTCGCCACAGGAAGAGGGCAGCAGAGCTCTGCTTGATGTCTTTCAGTTTTTTTACGCCTGTCTCACGTAGCTGCAGTGCAACATTAAACTTCAGACCAAAATGATTTGACCTCTCAATTTAGCGGACAGCACGCAGCGTGAGTGCCGGACTGCGGTCCTGGGCTGGTGCAGATAAAACACTAGAGCAAATCATCAGATGGACAGATTTGATTGTGCAATGTGCAGGAACATTGAAAGTAGGTTACCACTGCCAGGGAATGTGACAGGGCTGTTATGACTCAAGGCTGATGATAAATGTAATCAAGTGGAGAGTCCTGCTGAGAGTCAACCCGGGGACGATTGAAAATGGTCCATGGGTAGTGACAGTTGTCTATCGGCTGACAAAAAAACAAATGTATCTGTCTGTCACATTAGCTGACAGCTCTATTTGAAAATTCTTCCAAGTCAGAAGTTTAGTGTCTTACAAAAAAATAGCTGCAACCTTTTCACATCAGAATTGTTTTCATAAATAAGAATAAAAAAAAAATATTGCATGTATGGAGCAATTTTCCTGATTCCCCTAAAATAAAAAAATAAAAAATGCAAAATGCAAAACAAAAAGCAGATGAAGGTTTATTCTGCAATGTTTGCCAGGCACATCAAACATGTGGAAACAAGATGCTCTGGTCAGTGGAGACCATGAGTATGCCTAAACACAAAATGATTTGTGTGGTGGAAAACTAACACTGTACATCAGCCTGAAGAACACAATTCCCTGCATGAAACACAACACTGGCAGCATCATGGTGAAGGGAAACTTTTTTCTAGCAAGAAAAGTAAAGCTATTCATAGCTGATAAGAAAATAGAAGAATCTAAATGTAGAATAATTGTAGAAGAAGACACTTTACATTAGGTGGCACGATGTATGGCTCGGAGAAATTACAGACATTTGATTATTGGGTAACAAAAGTTAAAATTTTTTTTTGGTTGAGGCATTTCATATTTGGACAATTGTTTCTGTGGTTGATAGAAATGTCCTAGTTTGTAGATGTGGATAGACTGTGAAGATGGGCACCAAAAGTGTTTTTCCTGTAATTGCAGCAAAATTAAATGCATGCTGGACTTGTCGGATTTTTATCTGTAAAAATTTTGCAATCCTTGCATCTTTTGTCTTCCACTTGTGGTGATTCAGAGAAAATCCCAATAAAACACAGATTATTTTGCTTTAAGATAATAAAATGTGAAAGTGGTGTAAGTACATAGGCACGTTTCTATGTTAATGGAGAGATTTTGCCAAAAATTAATTGAAAATTCCCTCATATTTATGACAGTTTGCTCTGGACCTTATCACATTATTAAATCATCATTATGGCATCAAGTATCTATGAGTTATTACCCACAACCTGCTGATTTAAGATGATGCTCAGCCCTCTGAGGTAAACCAATTATTTATGTGCTGTGGGCTCTCAGATTGTTGCGCTGTGGGAGATGCTGTGAAGTCATGATTCATTTCTGTTTTAGTGCACGAGCTGGGCTTTATCGCCTGAGGGGGTCCACGAATTCGTGTGAGACAGACTGAAGGTGGGGATGCACACAGACACAGCTGAGTTAAGCCTCTATGCTCAGTGCTCTGCACACCAGTATTTGCTCACATGCTTGTGCCAAGTCGCTTGTTCCAAATCTAGAGAGTTTGCTTCACCAGCTTTAAAAACTTCCAATTATGTCATAACACTGCAAAAAAAAATTGCATATTTTGGTTTTGCATAAATTATATGGCGAGGCCACAATGGAAATTTTTCATTCTGTGCGTACATTTTGTTGTTGAATTAGAAACAAAAAGCTGTTTTAAAGTACAAGAACTGAAGAGAAACTGCAATTACAAGAAAACCATGCAAATATATTCTGGCATGACAGCTGTATTGGTGCGTACCTGGTCTAAATACCATATTGGGGTATAAACGATCTGCTACTTTTGGTGACATCTGGTATGACTTTTAGAACGTGGTCTTCAGGAATAAATATGATTTCTAATCTATGCAGGGGGTAGACATTTTGTTGAAACTCTGGAATATTTCTGAGTTTCTGGAAGTATTAGAAAGAAAAAGATGCAGAAAAAAGCTTTTTATAAAAATCTGTATTTCTAGAACTGTAATTAACAACAGAGGTGACAATAAAAACCTTTACAAGAACAAAATCTTTTATTTAGCTATGATTAAAGTGATTTTATTTTATTTTTTTACTTGTAAGGGCACAATTACATAGCAAATGTTTTGATTTTTTGAATGAAATGTGATAACCCTGTGTTAAAAGCTTATTCAGTTTATAAACTCACCCACACAAGATCTAATAGAGTTGAAGTACAAGACTGGGAACCTTTTATTTTTTGTTTCCAATAAAATATATTTGTCAAAACTAAAACACTATCTAAGAGAAAAGCACACAAATGTCTTTTGTGCTACAGTTCCAAGTCAAAGTGGCAGACCAAAATAGGAAAATGATGAAAAAGCTAATGTTTCATTTAATGTGTCACAAAAATTAAAACAGTGATGAAGTTGGATTGGTAATTTTTGTAATTGTGTGTTCTCTAATAATGTGGTTGTTCAATTATCTCTGCCTTCTTTTGTGGGAAAGACAATTTCAACTCTGGTGAAGTGAAAACATTCGACCAAACATTGACATTCTATCTCAGAATTATTTGATTATTAAAAACAAAATAAGTTATGGACAGGAGGTGAAAAGGAAAGCTTTAAATAAAGTGAACAAAACCGCTTTGAAATATCATACCTTAATATTCCATGTGATAGTGCCATTTTATACTACATTAACTACATTATTTTCAGTTGGTATAAGTTGACACATTCAATTGACTTTTAAACCAACTTTTAAAGCAACTTTGCAGTAAAAGTGTCATTGTTTACAGAACCACAATTCATGACTACAGTTATAAACATTAATAAGTGTTCATGTTCATAACTGGTGTTATGTCATATTTATGACAGTGGCATGTCAGTCTTATGAACACCCCTTCAAATTAAATGTTACCAAATGCAGGATATGTCAAAAAAAAAAAAATGACTGTGATTTAACATCAGCTCTTCCTGACACTCTGCCGTGCGGAAGTCATTACAACACTGCTCCTCTGTTAATACATTAGCAATATTTTTACCAGCATTTCTTTGAGAAGTATCTTATGTAATGAGCTCACCATATGTAAAGTTCTACCAGGCGTTTGCTGAAAGCTGCTGGTGCTCTATGAAGCAAAAGCTTAGAAACTTGTAAGCTGCAGCTCTGAGGAGGAGCTTCATCCTCGAAGGCAGCGCTTGGTCCCACCAATTATTTTGCCCAGATGAATTAGTGCCAGGGGATATTAAAAAATTTCTCAAACATGCATGAAAGGATAACAGCAACAGTTCATTCAGGTTTCTGATGAAGACATAACATCTGATGAATAAATAACAGATTAAACACTGCCTGTTTAATCTGGAGGCAAAACTTTCACAATGTTCAATGTTTTTGAGATAAACTTGTATATTGCAAATGTGTTCTGTGGTATTGTATAGGTGATTTTAGCAGCAGTTGTTAAGTTTAAGTGATTATTGACCAGCAGTATAAAATGTTTGAAAATATTTTTTTTTCACTGTCAAATGCTTTATTCTCAGAAAGTCAAATAGAAAGAGCTAGAAAGAGCATCTTTCCAATATAAAAGTTGGATGTGCCTTAGTAAAAGTGTCTGTGTACGGTCAGTTTTAACATCCCTTTAATGCTGTCATGGCTGCAATTTAGATGATCCAGCATGGTTGTGTTAAATCTGAGTTTGGATTGGATAGGAGTTGGCATCAAAATGTCCACAGTAGTATATCTTTATAGGAAATCAAATGCTGTAATGAAAAGTGTCAACTTTTAAATATATCACTTTTAACTTCAGCAAAAATTTGACAGCATCATTAAATGGCAATTGAAATGCCAATTTTACCGATGACCTTTGTGTTCGTGAAGTTAAACCAATGAACCGTGCAAGCTCATGAGCAAGACATCACCTTTAGAATCAGGTAAAGAAGACAGAATATGCTACAGAGCATTAACTTTGGTTCTTGCAGAAGACGTATAAAATTAGGAAGCCAACCATGGCTAAATTGCAGTTTTATGGTGCATTAGGATCATCATCCAAGGAGAAAGAGGAATAACACTTTCCACTGGCAGAGAGGGAGCTGAGTTGCCATGAAGAGGCACAGAGCCAAAATCCTCCAGGGGATAAAACCACTGAGATAGATGAAGGTTGCAAACAACAGATAATGCAAAAATATTTCAGCAACCATAAATCTTTCCTTTCAAGCTCAGACGTGATAGGCCTATTACTTTGGAGACCAAGTCTCTGATAACACTTGTGACTGCTCTAATATTTCCTTGCTATCTTCGGTAAACTTTTCCTGCTGCAGCAGGGGTATGAGAGAAATTACACATCATTGATTTCTTTTTTTTATTATTATTATCCACAGAGGCCAAAGCTTTCCTAGCACAAGGAGGCAAGAGGTGAGTTTACCACAAATGAGCAAAATGTCTCAGGTTGTTGAGAGTCAAGTGCTGAATTGAAACAAGTTGAATGTCATTACCTTTGAACATCTTGTCATTTTGATTCTATTCCAGTATTTTTAGACACATGCATGAGACTTGAATTGATGGCTTTCTAATGGACATCTGGCTGGTAACACAATTTGGAATATGGCACGGAACGCGAGCAGCTTGATTTGTGTTTTCATTGATTTATGAAGGAAGGGATTTTTAGTAGTACTTCATGAAACAATTGGTTACAACAAGACGGATGATCTGTCCTTTGTCTCTTCAATAAAGAATGTCAAAAAAATCCACTCCTTCCCAAGTAATAGCCTTCAATTAAGAGACTAACAGTCAAGAGAGAGCTGAAGTGGGTGATTAGTCATTATTGAACTACAATGATGATTTCATCCTACATTACAATGGGGCCACTACGGTTCTATTGTCTATTAAGACTTGAGAAAGAGAAGGAAAAGATCCAATTATAAGCAATGGACAAAAAGACACAAAAAATGTGTGGAGCTGGCAGTAAAGTGATTAAGTTTCTGCTATATTTGGAAACTAAAGATAAATCAACACAGGACAATATGCAAGAAAAGCAACTGAAACTCAAAAAAACAGTGAAAGAACACTGCAACATAGGAGGCACTATTTAAGAAGGTACTATGTATTGTACAAGTAAATAACTTACAGTTAATGATAAATAAATGTAGATATGTATGCTAAACAATTCTGCCTGTGAATAGTTACATATTTTTTTCTCTCTAACTCTAGGGAAGTCAGTTTAGGTCACCATGTCCAGTCTTGGAGAGCTACTGACCTGCAACATTCATCTGCATCCCTGCTTCAACACATCAGGATTGTCTCCTTAGCATGTCATTCAGCTCTGCAGTGGTCCAGTAACATTTGATTAAATTGATTCAGATATAGTGACATTTGGATGCGTCTATATTTTTGTAAATTGACAAAAATATATCAACAAAAATGTATGCCCACAGTAGTTGTAGCGCCGCAGAAAATCATGTAGGAGATATGACACAAAAAACACTGAATTATATCATATTTGTTATTTGTGAGTGTCGGGTGCATGTTAGATAGAGAGAGATAGAGCGTCATTTTCATCATTTAAAAAAAAGCTACATTCCACATGGCCACATGGAAACATAAAGCCAGCATTTTGAAATTTATTCACTGGAAACTGATTTGAAAAATTTCTCATCTCCCAAGACGCTCAATCCGTCTAGATCTACAGCCTAGACTTTGCAGACAGATCTAAAACCATCCCTGTTTGGACGGACCTAAAAGAAGCAGGACTGTTAGCTCCAAAAGACTGAAGTCGGGAACCTCTTGTTCAGGTCACTTCTATGTTGTTTCTGCAAAAAGCCATCACATATCTGTCACAAACAGTAGTTTTCAAGACATAACATCCTTAAGGCAAATTGAGCCTATAAAGGAGCACACACTTCAAATAGAATGGATGTAAAGGGCTTAAATGTGTTAAGACAAGACATTACTGGACCTTAGCTGTGTACAGAATTGATGGATGAATACTTTATTTATATAATGGTTTGCAAAAGCATACCACTTGAATTTTTCTGTATTTTGTCACATTACAACCACAAACATAAATATGTCTCTTTGGAATTTTTATGTGAAAAACCAACACAAAGTGGTATGCAATTGTGAAGTGGGAAAAAAGATTATACATGATACAAAACATCTTTTACAAATAAAAGAGTGAAAACTGTGGTGTGCAAAAGTAAACAGTTCCCCTCAGTCAATACTTTGTGGAGTCACTTTTTGCTGCAGTTACAGTTGCAAGTCTTTTAGGATTTGTCTATCCCAGATTTGCACATTCAGTGACTGAAAATTACCCATTCTTCTTTGTAAAACAGCTCAAGATCAGTCAGATTAAATGGAACACATTCGTGAACAGCAATTTTTTGATCTTGCCACAGATTCCCAATGGAGTCTAAGTCTGGACTTTCACTGTGTCTGTCTAACAGACAGATATGTTTTGTTTAAAACTACTCCATTGTAGCTCTGGCTTTTTGTTTGGGGTGGTTGTTCAGCTGTTGGAGTCTTCTGTAGAAGGTAGAGTCAGGAACTGAAACTGTCACTGTTCCTACACTCTTTCCTGGTGCAGTTTCAGAATGGCTCCATGAATGGTATTCCATATCCAACAGCAGAACCACCAGCCTGGTGAACAGCTTTCTGCCAGAAGATGTCAACATGCTAAACAGCTGTAAACATTATGTCCTTTATATTTTTATATTATATTTCTTTATTGAATTTTTTGTGTTTTGTTTTATGCATTTAACAAATTTTCATATAAATCTGTTTTTAGAATGTAATAATATTAAAATATACATTTGTTTGTTTCCAATGCAATTTGGTTTTGAAAAAAATACTGTCAATTTATTGTCAATATTTCTGACTATCTTGAACTTAATGTCAAAGTACAAGATAGACACACAAGCACAAAACACAAAGGGTTTATGAGGACAATTTGATCTTCTGTCATTTCAAATTCCACAGTCTATCGCATCCCTGTAATATTTTCTTAGGCATAATTAGGAACATGCAGTTCCATATGGGTGGCTGTCTGAGATTCTGCTGATGAAAATGAAGGGGAAAAAATAGATGTGAGGTAAGTTGTACCTTTTGTCATCTCTGTACCATTCAAATTCTGGTGTGGGCACGGCGGCAGCCTCACACTGCAGGGTTCCCAGGCGGCCCACCGGAGGCTCTGAGCTCTGGGTTTTCCTTATTGATGGAGGATCTGAAAATTCACAGATCAAGAAACCACATTGGAAGATCAACTTTTCCACATATGATTTCACTTGCCTGTTGTATTTCATTTTATCTGAAAGAAAAAAATTACCACAATTAAAATTATTTTTTAAAGTTTTTCTTAAAACTTTAGGTTTTAACATGCTATTTTGGAATAGCATATTACTCCTAATAAGCTAGCCTACTGAATATTAACCAACATCAAAGGCATTTCATTAAGAACTCAGTGATGGAGTCAGAGACTGCTTTCTTATATATAGAAAAAGCCTTTTAGCTCATTTCCATCATAAAAAGTGGATACAAGATCAGGTGCACTTTATGAGATTCTTTTAGCAGACCTTTCTTTAAAGCTCATATCAAGTTTTAATCCATCAGTACCACACATCAGCTACAGCAAAGTAGATTGTTAAGGTTTTGATATAAAAAAAACTGAACCTTTAACCAAACCTTCCATTTTAACAGGTATATTAGTATTCATTGCACACATATCTTTACAAACAATTGCCAGCAAAGCTTTCCAAATGGATTTATGCCCATCTTCCATATAAGATTAAATTCTAAAAGAAAGCTTAGTATACACTGAAATGTTCCCTTATCTGGCACTCAGACCTGGTGTGAGTACGATTTGGGCAAACAGCCACATATGATTTGTTCAGATCAAAGAGAATTTTTGAATACCTTGAGGAGTAATTAGTTTAGTGACACCTCATGAGCTGTCTATCAAATCCCAAAGAGCTAGAATCTGTAATAATATGGACCACTGAAAGGAGGTTATTATCCTCTTTTTGAAATTCTAAGTGTCTTTAAATGATGAAGTGGTGGGTGAGACCTGCCATAGAAGTAATAGCGGCAATCAGTGCAAGGCATCTCTTCTTTTTTTCCACCTGGTTTCATTTTAGGAATGACATGGGAGAGCTCCAGAACTTTGAAGACATCTCTAGTTCTTGCTTAGCTTTACTTTGCATTCATTATAAAATTCAACAATAAATGTGGACAAAAAATATTCATTCAGAAACCTTTCAACGTGCAGCAGCATCTTCCTACTTACAGTTGACAACAACATTGACATATTTGACATCAGGTGTGGCGACATCGTTGCTGGCTTTGCATTCATAACGACCTGCTTGGTTTCTCATGATGCCTATAATGTCCAGGTACTCCTCTCCATCCAGTGGCTCGGCTGTGGAAAGATGGAATCGATGAGTGGCAGAACAAGACAAGGAGGAAACTTCAGAATTAAACAAAGTAAAAGAATAAACAACTAAATAGGCAGTACTACCTTTGAAAGATATGTTTAAGACTCGTGTAAGGATGTGTTTTTGACTGAACTACAGAACAAGAGCAAATATGCAAAAGAATGACCTGCATGACCTGCATGACAAAACAATACTTGTAAAATAAATGTCAAACCAGGATTTGTAAATGTTCTTCAGATTTTGCTTAACAACAATATATCTTTCTCCATAATAAAAAATCCTTCATTGTTTTGAGATGTTAAGATGAGAAGTTGTAGTGGAAAAACACATTCTGAAAAAAAAGAAAAAAAATCAACCAACCAATCAAACAATATTTATAGAGCACAACCAAGTAACCTAAAACCATTCAAAGTGTTGTCATCCAGATGCTAAGAAGACAGCAAGAACATAGAAAGCTCAGTTTCCTCAGGTTTCAGAGTCTATACGAACGTCCAGAAACAACTGGAGTTCTGAACACAAACTTATTTTGCCAACATGTTGGTGTTAAGCTCCACAGGGAGGCCTCAGCAAGGAGCCCATTAATCAGATAAGCAGCCAAGAGGTTCAAGAGTAGAGGAGCTGCAAAGATCATTAGCTTAGGTGGGTAAAATTTGTTGACAGGATAACTTTTATCCACTTCACAAACCAGTGGAAAACTAACAGAGCAAATGAACAAACATCCCCAACTGGTAGCATGATGGCATGGTAATGTTTTTCTTTAGCAAGGACAGAAAAGCTCGTCAGTGTTCATGAGAAGATGGATGCGACTGAATACAAGTGTGAAAAGTGTGAGACAATGAATTGCATAGAACCAGAGATTTAGATAGGTTAGAATGGTCCAGGTCCAGTGAAAGTCCAGACAAACAGAATATAATCAGTTGCAATACTTGAAAAGTATTTTAAGCAGATCTTAATCCAATTTAACTGAGCTGGAGCAAAAACTGAAGTCTTAAAATCTGCAAATATAGTACAGACACAACAGCAGGTCTGTGACTGTGAGTTCAGGAAGAGGTGATTCTTTCAAGATATAAAAAAAAATGATAAAAAAAGCTCGAGTTCTATACACACTTTTCCAAACTTCTTAATCATGCCGAGTAATATTGAAGAATCCCTTTATGTTCTTAAAATGACAAAATGTGAAATTGTTCAATGAGCATGAATACTTTTGATAGCATCTATAAGACGGAAATTTGGATGGTTTAAAACACAGTAAAATCAAGTTTTTCAATGACTTCAGTAAAAAGTGATAATTTCACAGTTTGTGGAGAGATCAGATAGGATGGTGTCAGCATGAGGATGTCAAATTGTTTTGTGCACATGATGGAGGACACCACTCTTGAACAATGACAAAGTCGACTCTCTTTGTTGTCTTGATACTCATGACACACACATCAAGCCACTAAAGCATTGGTCTGAAAAATAAAAAGAGTTTCTATGGATTGGTTGAAACATCCACACACACACACACACACACCCCCACACACACACACACACACACACACACACACACACACACACACGCACCCACCCCACCCCCCCCCACCCCCACACACACCCATAAGGCTGCCACCTTATCGTGGTGGGGGGGTTTGCGTGTCCCAGTGATCCTAGGAGTTCTGCTGCCCAGTGCAGACGGGTTCTAGGTGAGGGACCAGACCAAGTGCAGCCCAAAGATCCCTTATGATGATACGACCGTTGGAAACAAGGGTTGTTTTCTCCGTACATGAGGTCCCACCCTGGAGCCACCCTGGCCTGGGGCTGGGGCACGCTGGGGAGCCCCTGGTGGCCGGTGGTGGTATGACAATAAAAACCCTGGAATCCCTGAACTATATCAACAATATGTGCACCAAGCAATACATACACTTAGCATTCCACAGATAAATGCTTTTAATCTGGTTAAGAATAATAATTGTACTGTCAATAAATGAGGCCTAATAGATGTTCTTAGTGACCAGAGGAACAATAAGGCCTTAATCAGCCCAGAGGTTCAAACTGATGAAACATGAGGATGGAGGCTCTCTATTAAAACATTCCTCACCATCTTCCATGTTCTTTCAGCAAACAGTTGAGACAGAGCTGGTTTTGGTTCCACCACTATTGACCTGCTGCTTTACCCTCCATTGAAAGTTTTCTTAAAAGTCTGTCTGTCAGTCTGCAGATCATGTGACCAAACCAGAAAAAACACTGGAAATATAGATTACAGTATTCTTTGTTTGAACTGGCAGCCATCTTGGTAGGCGGTTACCATGACAACAATAAACAAGCCACAACAATACCAGAACATTACAACCGTTGATTACGTCTATTTATGATATATTTTCTTTCCCGCTATCGTTTTCTATCTGGCACCAAATGGAAATCAGTCGGATGCTCCTGATATACGGGATAAAAACAAGTGAATCAGGAATTACTCTTGTTTTCAAGGTAAAGAATAAAGAGTAGGAAAATTGGTGGTGGAATGATGTCACTCCACCAGCAAAGGGAGATTATGTGATGTCACAGCCGATGCCATCAGTGATGTCATCAACTGGAGAATTGTATGTGACACAATTCTGCAAATTTGTCATTGCTTGCAATACCCCTGACTTGTTCAGACGCTCGCAAAGCTCTTTAAGGAAGTTTTCCAAACGACGATTTTAGCGAAAGCATTAGGAGAAAAAATGTCTCATCGTTCACCGAGATTCAACTTTGAACTGATTGGACCCCAAGGGAGAAGGGAAGCCCAGCAGAACCACCAAGGCGGGTTCCCTCCCGTGCAGCCCAATGCCTCCCATGGGGAAATCGGTAGGCTGAGCTCCCTCCTGAAGATGGAGAGAGCTGGAAGGTATGAAGACCACCAGCGACTGGCCCACCTGGAGGCAGAGCTGGAGCGAGAGAGAGAGAAGAGTAAGGGCCTCCAGGAAGAAATGGAGGCACTTCAGACTTCGTACAAGGACCTGAGCTCCTTTTCTGCCCTGCAACAGCAAGTTGCAAAACTGCAGCAGCAGATCACAGAGGAGAGGAAAAGCCATCAAGAGAAGTCAGAGGAGGACCTGGCCATTCTCCGGAACATCAAAGCCGAGAACGCTGTCCTCCTGGAAGAGACCAGACAAGAGATTAACATCCTGCAGGAGAAGCTCAGCAGCGCCCAGGATGACTTGCAGAAGGCTGACGGGTTGTACAAAGAGCTCCACTGCCGGTACGAGACGGACATCATCCATCTGCAGCAGCAGAATGAGTCGTACCGGCAGAGGATCAAGCAACAGACAATGTCCCTTTCTAACAGAGAGCAGCTTCTCCAAGAAAGAACGTTTTGTGCCCTAAAACAGCAAGTTAGAAAACTGCAGCAGCAGATCAAACAGGAGAGAGAAAGTTATCAACAGAAATCCGAGGAGGACGAGGCTATGCTCGACACCATCAGAGCCGAGAACGCCGTCCTCCTGGAAAAGACCAGAAAAGAGGTTAAGATCCTGCAAGAGAAGGTCAGCAGCGCCCAGGATGATTTGCAGAAGGCTGACGGTAGGTACAAAGAGCTCAGCTGCAGATACGAGACGGACATCACTGCTTTGATACAACTAACAGAGCAGTACCAACAGCAGGTGACTTGTCTGCAAAATGACTTGGAAAGAGCCAGACAGGATCTGTCTGGCTCTTACCAAGTCATTTCTGACCTACTGAGAAAAGAGAAGGATGGTTCCCGAGAGAAGGAGATAAGTTCTCTAATCCAACTCGACCTGGTCCAAGTTTCAAGTCAAGAGGTTTCTTCGGAGGAGGAGCTTTCTGGAGGAGCTTGTTCCACGGACCAAGAATCCACGGAGGAGATCCCTGGCGAATCTGGTATGGAAGAGTTGGACCATCCACACACTGACACCATGCAGGAGGGTGAGAAGAGAATGTCTAAATTTTCAATCTGGAAAAAAATTCGTAACATTCTGCAACTGAAGAAGTAAAAAAACCCAAAAGAGTGAAAACATTTAGAGAAGGAGCAAGACATGCAAGAGAGACTGAGGACTGGAATCAGACGCAGGAAGGTTGTAGCGTCTGCGTTCGGGGCGCCATGCAACGCTCCGACAGCAGGACGTTTACAGCAGCTACGTTTTTCCCTCAAATTTGATCCCTTCCCTACCCAATTGAAAAAACGTGGGCAGCACGGTTGCGTAGCGGTTAGCGCTGCGTCTTCACAGAGACCCTCTGTGTGGAGTTTGCATGGTCTCCCCGTGTTTGCGTGGGTTTTCCCCGGGCGCTCTGGTTCCCCCCACATCTCCTGAAACATGCAGGTCAGGTCAGTTGGTCGCTGCAAATCGCCCCCGAAAAGAAACTCCCAACACATTTTACTGTGTTTTATTGCTAAACTTGTCAAAATTAGGTTTTATTTAGGACGTGACTGAAAGGTTTTGTTTGTCAACCTGCGTTTGATTCCCAGTCCTGGGAAATCTGCTGCATGTCTTTCCCTTCTCTCTCCTCCCAATTTCCAAATAATTGGGAGGAGCCTAAAAAACTTAATTAGAGCCTAAAAAACTTAATTAGACCCTAAAAAACTGAAACATTGACTTTATCTCACAAATGGACCCAAAAAAAATCAACTTTCTTTCTCTCTCTCCCACAAAATTAACAGATTACTTAACACACACACACACCCTTACAAGCCTAACCAAGCCTTCCCCACCCAATTGAAAAAACGTGGGCAGCACGGTGGCGCAGCGGTTAGCGCTGCGTCTTCACAGAGACCCTCTGTGTGGAGTTTGCATGGTCTCCCCGTGTTTGCGTGGGTTTTCCCCGGGTGCTCCGGTTCCCCCCACATCTCCTAAAACATGCAGGTCAGGTCAGTTGGTCGCTGCAAATCGCCCCCAAAAAGAAACTTCCTTAACACACACACACACACACACGCACACACACACACCCCCTCCATGGGCTGCCACCTTATCGTGGTGGGGGGTTTGCGTGTCCCAGTGATCCTAGGAGTTCT